AGGTGAAACGTCTTCAAGCAACTTAAAGAAGTCCAGACGCTTTTCTTTGCAAGCTCCTTTGACTACGATGACCTGGATGACTGAGAACCTTCACAGACATATTTCCAGAAAGACGTCAATGACTTTGATGTAGCTTGGTGTTTCTTTAGATTGTGGTACGATGTTGCTTTTTGTGATCTTTTAGCCTGTTTCACCTTGACAAACAGGTTTTTATCTAAGTGATTTCTTGATGTAACAGGTCTGACAGTAATCAGGCCTGAGTGTGTTTAGTGAAACTAAACTCAGCTTTCCAAAAACTGTGGTTAATCACAGTTTTATGATTTAACAAGAAGTTAAAGAATTAATAATAAAATGAGAAAAAAAACCTGTTAGTCTCTTATTGTTGTAACGAGTATGGTATAAAAGCAATATTTTTTGGCATTTTAATCTCTTAGTTAACCACATTTACTTCCTGCTTATTTACCACATCTGTGAATACAAAACACAAGAGAGTTTCGCTCTGCATCTAAACTATGTTGTGATTTTGTCTGGGGATACTTTTATGGTTATGTTTACAGAAAACTGGCTTTGTAATTAAATCACAATAACAATTATGGTAAATTTGTATATATATATTTCTTGGTAGATGCGGTTTCCGTATGACCCCGTGGTACCAAAGAAGTGGGAGGATTTACAGATTGGAAGTCTTTGTGTCAAAAACAGCTGGTTTTAGGGTAAATATTCACACAGAGACAAACAACAGACTGCATGCCTCGAGGTCAGTGGCTCCACGATGCATGAAATAGCCAAGTTACAGTAGAGATAGTGAAGCTGAAACTTTTGTAGGCATACAAACGAAGATAAAACTGATGGACATGAGTGCTGCTTGGCTCAACAACATCTGTAAGGAGCAGCATTTGGTGCTGGAACTATTTGGGCTCTTTATGGTATGCTCCAGATACTCACAGATACAAACACTGCTGTAAAAGTTTCCTTATAAAAAGTTGTTTTTATTTATTAATATTTTTTTTATATATATAAATAGCTGAAGATGTGGTCCAAAAGAGATGTACTGCCCCAATCAGGCTAATGAAACCTGACACAGAGAAGTCTGA